GTTCTTACGCTAGAGTCTTCTCAACTTGAAAATTGCTTTTGGTTTCAAAATCAGTGGACAATAGATCATCGACTGTGTTGATCTAGGACTCCTCCGATATGGTTATTAGAGTGAAAACTTGTCGTATTGACTTCGCAAATAGCAAAAACCTACGTGAGAATATGTCAGTTTAACCCCTACTCGTAGCAAAGTAAGACAAAACCACAGACTCAATTTCAGTAAGGAATTAGTATCTTGCATGGGTATGACTTTTCGCAATCGAACCCAGACTGGTACTTTTTTATACTCGGCATCAGACCGGACTTAATCGACATTCGACAGATACTTTTATAGTCGCAGTATAATTTTCAAACTTTTATTTTATATGAAAAAATATATCATTTAGTTTCTTCCATAAACAGTAACAAAAAGAAATGAGATCTTCTCAAATTTCATTAAAAAAAAGCTAGTGATTCAAGATTCATTTGGTGTCTTTTTGCTTGTAAAATCCGATTAATTTCATTAAGCATACATTTGCTTGATGCTAATGACGCTGGAATGGAACATAATGTTAGTGCCAAATGCCATAATTGTGAATACATACACGAGTGATTTTTTCCATCACGAGAATACATGTTCATTTTTTGTTTTTTTGATAATTCATTTTCCTCATCATGTCTTGAGTTATTTCGTCATATTGTTTATCATTATCTATAGATGAGTTTTCATTAAAAACGAATTTTTCTAATAAAATAAAATCGCTTTCTACTTCTATGACCTATTCTCAAATACAATAAATCGCTCAGATTTTCATTCCTATGCTTTTATATAAATTAGCAGTCCGAAAAAAGTGAAAATATTTTGAAATGTCGAGACCTTATATATTGCAGGGTCGGATTCGGGTACCAATCCGGTTGCAAGACACTAGTAAGGATCTAGCGAAAAAATAAAACTCATTTCTCTGCGTCTCATTTAGCACTTCAAAATGTCATAAAGTAGGTTTTTTATACCAACTCGATGCCCTCTATAATTGAGATAGATCAGAAAATTATATTGGTGAACAGAGGTTTTCGCTCAAGAAAACTAATGTTCCACAAAAGTAGATCTTGTAAGACCTATCAACAAATTTCATGCTCATATTTAGAATCAGTATAGTCGATAATCTATTGTTCACTGATTTTTAAGTCAAAAGAAATATTCGAGTTAGAAAGATTTCCTCGTTTGATGTATTTCTATTACAGGAAAATCTAGTACCGTACGTCAACTATGAATAGAACATGTTCAATAGTATGTTTTTTTCATAATTTCTTCATTAGAAGAAACTGAACTAGTTAATTAACTACAATGTAATTAGCAAATAAATTTTTAACCTTATGACGGAGAAGTTCAAGAATTTTAGAATAAGCTCTATACGATGAACTATATCTATGATGAAATTTTCAGCAAGATCAGAGTTCAAAAAAATACTTCCAAAAAAATGATTTTTCAGAGATCCACCCTTATCCCAGAATGACACTTTTGATGCTGATATCATCTTGCGATCCTCACGAAGGATTTTTCATTTCTAATTTCACACGCATTCAGATTGCTAAACACAAATAAAATCAATTTTTTGAAACATCTAAGCGTGTTTAGGAAAAGCCTCACATAGAGATTTTGGAGCCCGAAGAGTCCTTCGCAAAACGTACTATTTAGTTTTTAGAGAAATTGTTTAAACCGACAGAATTTGTAAATCGAAACGGACACAGTGAAAACATTTGTCATTTTCGTGTCATATTGCTAACGTTAATTTTTCAATAATAACTCGGTGGAACCAAGATCTATTCGATTGAGTTTTGTAAGATATCTAAAGTAACTCAATATAACGGATGGTCTATAAAGAACGGATCTTTCAGTATTTTACATATATTTCAATAGTATTAAAAAATGTGAAGAAGCAACATTTTTTTTAAAAATGTACCTTTTAATTATCTATAATCTTATATATTTCAACTGATTCGATTAGGATTCGACGATGAAACAGATGTCTAAAATTCACAACTTTCAAAAGAACTTTTTGTCAATTTTTGTTCTATATGCTTTAACTCTTGAGTAATTTTTTTTTCTCTAGTCTCTTAATGGGTGTCAACCAATAAACGATAAAAACATATCAATAATAATGTATTTTAAAAATTTCAAAGTTGATTTATTTGTCTCTGAATAAATATTATTGTTAATACACGAAATTGTATGCTAATGTTATTACTATCCATATGTGGAATTATCATTATGACTTCGTTCAAGTTGGTCAAAGTTTTCAATAATTTCGAAAGATGCTCGTTAAATGCTCAGTACTCTGTAATGTATCGACTTCACAGCCACGATATGTACCTGCTTAAGTTTCTGAAGATTTTTAGAAATTAGGATAAAATTATGCTCACAGATTCACATATGAATAGCAATCACATTAGCATACATTTTTGTGTATTGATGATAATGTTTATTCAGAGACAAATAACTCAACTGTGAAACTTTTAAACTATTTCATTACCTTGATATTTTTTGTCGTTTGTTGGTTCACATCGATTGAGAAACTGAAAAAACTTGCTCGAGAGTTAAAGCGTGTAGAACAAAACTTGAGAAAGACTTGTTTTTTGAAAGTTATAGTTTTTAAAGATATCTGTTTCGTCGTCGAATCAGATTCGAATTAGTTGAAATACATACGATTGTAGATAATTAAAAGATGTATCTTTAAAAAAATTGCTTCTTCACGTTTTAATACCATCGAAATATACGCAAAACACTGAGACGTCCATTCTTTATGGACAACTAGTTAGATAAAAATTAGCTCAAAGAAAGGTCCGAATTCAGAGATAAGAGTATGTTTCTTTTTCGAAATCACGTCACTAACGAATGAAAGAAAAAAATCAACATGAAAAACTGTTATTACGCAGATAAAATCTCCAAATAAACTCTTAGAGCCATACTCAAGGAAGGATCCTAAGAAATTATAATGAATCCTGGAATCTCCTACTTCCCTTCTTAGAAAAAACATTCAAGGTATAATATTGTTAGCTATTTAAAAAAAGTATTTTTCATATTCTAGCCCATCGTTTTGAATTAAATTTTATTTCGTCAGCATGTCGAACATTTATATTACTTTATTTATCAAAACTTGAATATATAAATATGTATCCAAATGGTGGTGAATTTATTGAACAAGATGATGGAATACGTTTATCAATTTCATCGATTCTTGATATTTTATGTATCTGGTTTCGTGAATTTTTACTTATTGATGATAGAATTGCTTGTGAAGTTATTCTAAATAAATTATCTCAATGTAGTATTTCAAGTATTCTTGCATCGAATGGTTTTATGGATTTAGAAGAAAAAATGAAATGGAAAATTTTTCAAGCAAGAGCAAAATATTTAGAAAATGAACGATTATCGACATTTTAATAATTCAACGAGATTAAATTAATGTTGTTATAAACGAATAGAAAATTATATTTCTTTCTTAACTTCAAAATATTAATAATGAACAGAGTCTTTGTTAAGCACAATATTTTAAGAATAAATGAAAAGATGACAGCGATTTTAAATAAAATAATTAAATATTGAGTTTATTAATACTTATTTCGACGGACTAAGCCATCATTATCAATAATAGTATCTATAATTGAGAAACAATAAATTATTACAACGAAAACAAAAGTTCTATAGAAATTGTTCCTAGCTGAGATGGCGCAATTACATCAGGAGTTGATTAAAATCAATCAAAATTAATTAGATTTCTAATCGATTATTTTGATCATTCCAAAAGTAATAGATTATTATAGATTAATCTTGAAATCTATTAAAATCGAGTCGATTTTTTACTTGATTTAAAAGATTTTCCTGCGAGAAATCGATTTTAATTGATTATGGCATATCAAAGTCTGTTATAATTGATTATATCATTAAATTAAATGTGAAAATGGCACATTTAATCGATTTTTTGTAATTATTGTTGGAAAAATCAGTTTTAATCTGATTATTTGATCGTTTTTTACATAGGTTATGTTGTAACATTTAATTGGGTTCTCTATCTTGTAACATTTAATTGGGCTCTCTATCTTGTAACATTTAACTTTGTTGTTTATGTTGTAACATTTGATATTGCTCTTTATATTGTAATATTTGATTATTCACATGAATAACACTAAGCTATAGAGATGCACAAAAATAATGTAAATAACCATTTTAAAAAAACTGGTTTGACGGGAAATTTGGCATTGCAGAGTAGGGATGCACCAAATCCTAATTTCTGGCACTGAAATCGCTCATTTTCTGTACGTGGAACCGTGAATTCCGATCAATTCTTCGAGTGATACCCACTCAATTTTGATCGTTCTATTGGATGCCATTGTCAGAAATTGACGAAAACTTTAAGATTTTCAGCTAATTCCGACCAATTCTTTCATCTTTTATTCGTCGAATTCGACAATGGCATCAGATAGAACAATCAAAATTGAGTCGGTATCATTCGAAGAATTGGCCGAAATTGATGGTTCTATGTACCGCAAGTGAACGATTTTTAGTGTCAAAAATCAGGAATGGTTGCATCCATATTTCAGAGAAACGGTATCTTATGATGGCTTAAGACACATTTATTAACCTTTTTCGTATTTGTAGTTGAAACCTTTCAAACAAGTTGACATACGTGAACAGTCTTGACTCATGAAGGTGATAACCCCAATTTTGACAGAAACAAGAAGGTATGTACATTTATTATTCTTATTCTGATGTACTGCTAATGGCAGAAATAATCGTTAGAAAGATAAAACGAAGGAACGTGTCGGAATATAGTTGTTGGGTAAACTGAGTCCTTCATAAAAAAAAGCACCTGAAGTGAGTGCAGAAAAAAAATAAGTTTATACGATCGAAACTACTTTCACCATGCCAGGCCTTCTAGAAAAATATTCTAACTATCTGTCTGATGGCAGTACAAGATAAATTTATTATGTTATAGTCAGTTACTGAATAGTACATCTCGCTTTATGACACCTACCAAACTGCTCGGTCGTCTTGTTGGAATATTTGTCATTACTACAATTGTGTTCATTATACTTTATGGTGTCGAAAAAACCAGGAAAACAATAACAACAGAAAACAGAACTTTACCATTAGCGACGACTACAGATGGTATTTTTCTTATTTTGAAAATGAAATCTGATAATTGCATGATTTCATTCTATTAAGATGTATGTTTCACTCCCTATTGTGTCAAAGCAGGTATATATTGTTTTCTAAAACAAATCAAGGAAATGTAATCGTCTACTTTCCAGCCAATTACCTAATTGAAAGTATCGATGAAACAGTTGAACCATGCGAAGATTTTTTTCATTTTGCCTGTGGAACATGGATTAAAAATACAAGAATACCTGATGATGGTTAGCAGTAACTTCTCGTTCATATGGATTGAAATTTTTCTTTGCTTTTTTTGTTCTAGTCAGTGCACAGAGTCCTTTCAATTTGTTGCGAACGCAATTGTATTATAACGTTATAGGTATGCATGAATGAGATCTATGTAGCATTGTTTCTTTGTGGATGTCATAGATCTTCTATCATCGCTGCCTGCGAACGATACCAACGAGCCCAAAGCCGTTGTCAATGCTCGCCTCTTGTACAAATCCTGCATAGATGAAGCAGACATAGAGGCTACTGGTGTTGATCCTATTCTTTCATTGGTCAATACAGAATTGGGTGGTTGGCCCATACTTCAAGGTTCATCATGGAGTAGTTCAACGTTTGATTTGTCAAATCTCTTTTTGAAACTGCGAAAATATGCTTATAATATTATCTATCGAGTAAACACAGTAGTCAGTGAAGAAAACTCGACAATGTACAATATTGAAGTACGTCTAATGACCGATCTCAACATAGATGTAGGCATAAAATTACCGGGATATCCAAGCAGCAATCGAGTCGATTAATGCACTGATTAGTCTATTTGAGCAGTCGTTTTTGATCACCACAATTGGAATCTCATAAAAAAAACTTTAATGCTTATATGTGTTTCAGAAAAGTGTATAACACATAATATTTCAAAACCTAACAAGAAGTCAAACTGTACTGAGTGTTAGCGAGCTTCTAGTCGTGGAATATTCAAGTTCTCTAAATAAGTCATCAACATCACATTCTCATTGAGAGAATTTTTTTCCGTCAATAATATCGAATACGTGGTGTGAGCAGGAATCTAAACGAGAATAGTTAATACTAGCCACACGTTCAGTGTACATAAAAAATTGATTTAGCATCTAACTCATAGAAATGTGATGATATTTTCATGTTACTAAGGATACAGATCTTATTAACCATTATAGATCGGACAAAGTGATCTTGCACTAGGACAAAAGCAATACTATGCCAATGAAACAAATATCACGATTGCTTATCGACAGCTAATACGCGAGTTGGCTATGGCATTAGGAAATGACACATCAATGATTGATCAGGATGTCAATGATATTTTCGAATTTGAAAAGAATATATCAAAGGTAATCAATATCTTTTTTTTCTCATCGATACAATAATTTCTATTTCCTTATTCTTCATAGTATCATTGGACAGATGACGAACAACGAGCACGCTATGATGAAACTGTTCGAACTACATTCAACAATCTTTCATTAACATTCAACACCACAGTCAGTTTCATTTTTCTTTTTCTCTCTCATCTTCCTTTCTGTACTATCATGTATTTATATAGTTTGATTTCACCGATTATGTTCGTCGTTCCTATCTATTAGGCAATGTGACTTTACAAGATACAGACGTTGTAGCCATTAGTGAAATCGAGTATTTGAATAATGTTTCATTGATCCTTCAACGAGCTTCACCACGAACCATACAAAATTATATGGTTTGGCGTTTCATACTGAGTCGAACTTCGGATATGCCACAACATATTCGAATTATCAGACAACGATTTGATCGAATCTTTCGTGGTACGAATACCGAACGACCACGTACAGCAAGATGTGGCAGTTTTGTCAATCGTATCCTAGGTTTTGCTGTCTCAAAACTCTACATTAAAAAATATTTTGACGAAAATGCTTTCAATGAGGTTTGTTTAAACGTATATCGTGTTTATTGATATTTTGGTATTTTTAAAGTCTCTTGAAATGATCAATAATATCCGAGATGCATTCATCGAAATGCTTCAAGGATCTACTTGGATGGATGTTGAATCAAAAACAAAAGCCATCGAGAAGGTAAATCTAGAAAACAAATGATAATCAAAATGAAATCATGAGAATATAGGCCAAAAGTATAGATCAGCATATTGGTTATCCTGACTATTTGGCCAGCGATAATAATACGAAACTCGACAAAGATTATGCTGAGGTAAGCAATGTAATAAGTGTTGAAGTGTATATATGAGATTCTACCGCTTTGATCCCGCTATGCATTATTATAAATGTGGTATAAGATTTCTTCATGACGATTGTAAAATCATTCGAAATCTTAGAGAAACTATCCTTATAACGTTTTCAATAGAAAAGTCAACTTCTCTTCTCTACTGCATATTTTTTAATATAGTACACTTTCAACTCATCCTACATTAGAAACATTCTCAAATTGCTTGAAATATTTGCCAAGGAAAATTTTCAACTACTGCGAAAACCTGTCGACAAAAAAGACTGGGATGAATACTCTGCACCCAGTGTTGTAAACGCCTTTTATGATCCATCAACAAATCGAATCAGTATGTTCATTGATCTTCTACATTACCTTTATACGACATACGAATATATGTTTTCTTTTATACTTCAGGTTTTCCGGCTGGTATTTTACAAATACCTTTCTTTAATAAGGATGCACCCAAGTAATTATTCTCTCTGTTTATTGTTTCGTAATTGATTTAACTATTCTGTTTATCTACTAGGTATCTCAATTATGGTGGTAAGCATTAAATTTTGAACTCATAGGACTACAGTAGAACTGAAATTTTCTCGACCAAATATTTGACAATTTTTACGCATTTAAAAAACAAACAAATAATAGTGTAACATAGTGTATTATATTTGTTCACGTGAATATTGAAAAGATTTTGAAGATCAAAACATAAACAGAATTTGTTTCAAATAAGGCAAGAAATATTATTAATTGGACTAAAAGATAAAAAAATTTATATTAGAAAGCAAATCCTTTTACATATGGTTAATATCAAGTAAAGACTTTTCTAAATTTCGTTGCAAGGAAAATCTTGATATTTTTCGATTTTCACATTTCCACGAAAAAAAAATTGTCTAATGTTTCGTTTAAAAAACATTTGACTTACTGTACTATATGTTCATTGGAAAACTCAGTATGAATCCTTTTATCACATGTACTAATTTAGGAATTGGGTATGTGATTGGACACGAAGTTACACATGGGTTCGATGATACTGGCCGACAATTCGACAAAGATGGAAATCGCATTCCATGGTGGACAGAAGAAACAATCAAAAAGTTTAACGAACGCAAGACATGTATTATCAATCAGTACAGCAACTATACAGTGACACAGATCGATATGCAAGTTAGGTTTTCATCTTAAGTTTGTTGAATTGAATAAATTACTTTTATTTTAACATTCATTAGGCAGATGGAAATCTAACACAAGGTGAAGATATTGCTGACAATGGTGGTCTTAGAGGTGCATTTTTTGTAAGTATATTTGAGTTATTAGCAAACATGCTATAATCTATGATGCAACGTTTTTGAGATTGTTTGATAAATATGTCATTTGTCTATGTGATACTAAATGTAATAATTTGAGAAAATATTGTTTTGTTTCAGGCCTATCAAAAATGGGCAGCAAACAATAAGAATGTTGACAAAAGATTACCTGGTCTTCAGAAATATTCTTCGGAACAATTGTTCTTTATCAATTATGCTTATAACTGGTGTATTAAGATGACGAATGCCTATGCAGTTAATCGTCTTCGAATAGATGTTCATTCATTGGATCAATTCAGGTATTTTTTTCCCATGGTTAATTTGATGATGATTGAATTTGTTGTGATATTCAGAGTGACTGGCCCAACATCAAATTTCGATGAATTCGATCGAGCATTTGGCTGTACACCAGGTCAAGGAAACAGTCGGAAAGACAAGTGTAGTGTTTGGTAGTAGAGCGTATTCATTTATAGTAGTTTTATAGTACGATAACACAGGGAATATACAAAAATATTTCGGTTGCTTAATATTGTAATTAAGAATAGCTTATTTCAAATATTCGAAAACTTAATAAAAATAGTGCTGCTTGATCAATCGAATCTTCAGATGATTCAATAAAGTAAGGAAAAAATGTTAAAATTTGCAAGTGACTTAAGAACAATTTGTAAATCTGGATGATTTTGACAAAGGTAGAAATGTTTCCAATTGAGAATCAAAGATAGTGGTATTTCAGTAAGTAAATCGTCGAATCAGAATCTTCACTGTCATCAATATACTTTGTTCTTGTCGTGATACGAGCCACCGAGAGTAGCAAGTTCTTCTTCCAAGAAAATCAATGGAATATATCGAAAAGAAATGAATTAAATATTCTATCGTAGGTTTCATACATCAGTCCCGTATGAATTGTACTGAAAGTCTATTTAAAGGAGCATTTGTAGGCTGAATATATGCTAATATCAAACTCAACTGTGCTTGTCTTTGAAAATGGGTGGATGTATATATCCTTCTTTCTTTTTACCCATCCACTCTCAAAATGTAGCTGACAAAATCCTGGTACTGCCTCGTCATTATCAGCAATAGAGCACCGCGTATAGCTGATTCTTTACAAGCAGAACTTTTCGCTCTCCATTGCGCTCACGGAACCCTTTGTGTTATATGCATGTACTCAAATGTCTCGCATCTACTCATGTCTTTCCCAGAGTTGCGTCATATATTGCGTAAATGTAAACTCGTGGATATTGACAAACTTTATAGGCATATTCGAGAACCACTCGAACAATCGAGAAGTGTGGATTGTTCTGGTCGAATTGAAGAAGAAAATGAATCAGAAAGTAATGGAAAAAAGAAGAACGGAGAAAACGCTCGATTAATAGTCAGCGAAGAATCAAACGATGGGAAAGAAGAGGAAAAAATATCTCAATTGATCAGCAACGTCCGAAATCAGACATGTCGAGGTATGGATAGCTTTGAAACGAGTAATGATACCGTTAGCCTAACCTACTTCTCTGCCCAGATCAACGAAAAAGAGCTGTTCATTCATTAGCAAAATGCAGTTCATCTCTCTCACTAGAGAAAAGCTAACACTGTCGACCGATCGACGAAAGCATGTTCATATGGCATAATTTCTGTGCATTGCTGATCTGAAGAGATCAAAAGCTTTCAATTCCAAATAAAGATAAGCAGGAGCCAAAACTTCATTCGCAGTGCAGGTAGGATGATTCTAATTATTGAGCTTCTTTCAGCCAAAGTCTAGAAGATTTTTATCTTTTTGAACGAGTATGGGTGTAGGCGAAAGTAAGATCCATACCCGCACCCTCCTTCTCTGCTCAAGTTTGTTTTTTAAGTTTGTTACATAAAACATGAGCATGACGAACATAAGAAATCATATAGTCAAATAATTGAAAATAGTTCTTTATCATTGATTTTCCCTAATTTTGCTCAAAAGTCCTTTTTTATCATTTTCAACACAGTAATGTCAACTTGTTTCAAGTTCTGATAAATTCTTCTTTTTAGTTATAACTCTGAATGTTTCTTAATCTCTGTCATGCCACTTATCGATGAAAATACGACAAATTTTTTCTATAGGTTAGAATTTTATGAGGGTGTGGGTGTGGGGTGTGGGTGGGTGTGAATGAAAAGAGCGTCATCATCCACACCAACACTCGCCGCCGTCACAGACACGGCCTGGACCCATCACAGACTGTGACAGACAGGAACGGGTCCATCACAGACCGTGGCAGGCACCCTTCATGGGTCTTCACAGCGACTGATAGCTGCCTTCAGCAGAATATCAAATGTTCTGTATAACTAACATCTAATCAGAGTATTGATGGAGTATTTCCTTTATGAAATTCTACTCTGTCAATTTAGCAATGCTGGTGGAATATGCCCAGTTATTCATTCATTTGATATTTTCATTAGTTAAACTAAACTCAATCGTGTTAATATTGTCATAGCCGTTAGGTAAATGATGACCCACACCATAGATAATATTATAATTTTTGTTTATTACTATCTATATTTGATTCTCTTTAATATGTGTTTTATTCTATCCCACATTTTCATTTTATTTAACCTTGATCTTTAAAGACGCATTTACTTTTATTTTCGCAAAATTGTCTTTCTACAATATCCATTCATTTATGTGTTTTTTTGTCGGAGATTTTCACGTATAACATATTATCTAATTCTTCGACGAAGATATATTATTCTTCTTTACGTTTCTAAAAATAAAGCCATTACTCCTCGTGAAAGAACACGTATATCTAGTTTATGATTGTTGTGTGTTTATTTCAAGCACATATCTTGCAATATCATATAACAACTAATTACGAGAGATCAGTAGAGTCAGTGTGCTTGAGTCACCAGTGACGCCGAGGATGTCAGCGCATCAGTGATCCGTGATATACTGGTCATCGGTGTTCCAGTGACGTCAGTGTCAGTTTTTTCGGTTTTATCACCGACACCGCACATCCCTACCAGGAACTGAGCTCTTTTTGAAAAAGTCTAGTTTACTTGTGTCGTTCTGAGTGGCGTTTGTGTGTGTATGTGTGCTGGTGGCTGTGGATTTGGAATCTTCTCTTCATTCACGTTCACACTCATACCATAATTGTTTATATCAAAATTAAAATACAAAGCAAAATTGGCAGCTCAGGATACAATATATTGAAAGTGACGCTACCTTTGATGGGTTGTATCTTGGAGCTAACAATCCTGATGTAAAACTTCTTCTCATTTCAAATTCTAGCAACTATTGATGCTTTCTGATTGTTTTTATTTTAACACTGTATTTGAATTCTTATTTTTTCACCTCGGAACAAAAAATGAATCTTTTACGAATAATAATATAGTCATTCATTAGTTTATTCAACGAGGACTCATCATTTCTTGTACATAAATTTTATCTTTAACAATCGAACGTCCGACATCTTAACCATCTTTACGAAACGATAAACCCCAAATTGCTTCTTCTCAAAGAAATTTGAGCTCAGAACACAAAAAGAAAAAAAACAACTAAATTGTCCTATTATACTTTGATCAAGAGTTAAACAGCCTATTCGGTCATACTTTTGTACTCTACACAGAGCTCATGAAGAAGCATCTCTAGGTGCCAAATTGTTTTTCGGCCAAGACGACGTTCATTTAATGAGCAGTAGAAATGTCTAGAATAGTTTGATTTTTCGGACGTTTGCTCTGGAGATATCGAAATTTTACTAGATTTTTTTAACAAAAGTTGCGATCACGTGGAAAATCGACTTTTGAGTTTCGATTTCAAACTTTGCATGAACAAAGTTTTTAATAAGATTTGTTGATTGTACAAGTTGTAAATTTTCAAGTATCTCGTGTCCTGAAATATTCAATATTCGGAATTTTTTCATGTGTAAAAGTAAATTTTGGTCATCTCCAGAACGGAAATAGTAGAAAAGCTAAAACTTTTACAATCAACTAATCTCATTAAAAACTGTGTTCATGCAAAGTTTGAAGTCGAAACTCAAAAGTTGATTTTCCACGTGATCACAGCTTTTGTTAAAAAATCTAGTAAAATTTCGATATATCAAGAACGAAAATCCGATAAACCAAGCCATTCTAGACTTTTCTATTACTCGTCAAATGAACATCGTCTTGGTCGAAAAGCGATTTGACATCTGACAAGATTTTCTCGTACGAGATATTTGTATTTTGGAAAAAATATAATGACATGTAAAGAAGTCGATAAATTACATTATCTTTCATTCATCTAGAACGACCAAAGAATTAAATAGTTATTATTAATAATATAAAAGCGGACTTTTGATTGTATGCAGATATGTTAATAACATCAATAAACTTCACAGATTCTTCTTTCTTTCTCACTAACATTGAATATTTTATCTTTAACTTATCGACACTTATTCATTTTCTTTTCTTTTTTTCGTCCATTTGTATGATGTATTGATTTCATAGAATGATAATATTCAATAGTTTAATTTGTATTTAAAGACCTTCGATAACAAAATCAACAATTAAAATGATTTATTAAGTTTTCCACTATGCACGGCAAATATCGAATCATATTTCTTTCTTTCTTTTTCCTTGACAAAGAAACATTTGATTTTTATTTCTATTTCTATTTTTAGTTTGACTTTGAATTTATTGATGTGTCTGCCAGACACGTCAGATGCTTCGTATATCTACTTGCATTCTTTTTATCTGGCAAACGTAAACGTATGACTCCTTTCCTTTTTTCTTTGTTAAATAGTAAATGTAGTCATTAAAACATATGCGTCTATTTATCTTTTCTTTCAAACAATTGTCATGACTATCTCTGAATCATCATACTTTTAAAATATCTCACAAAAATAAGGGAAAATGCTTGTTTATTGTTCAATGAACGAAAAAAAAAAAGAAAAAGAAAAAGAAAACATAACGCGTCAGTATGAGTTTCTAATAATCTTTTTTGAACATTATAAACATCTTGATTTAAAAGCGTAGAACTTCTAATGAAAAAGAAAAGAAAGAAAACAAACGAAGAAGTTAGTCGATTTGTACATAAAGAACATAGGTGCAATTGACTCAAAAAAAGAAAAAGACCTTCAGATTTCTAAACACAATGAGATAAATGAAAAGATTTCAGTAGCAAAAAAAAGAAAAAGAAAAATAAAATAAAATCAAAAAATGTCACGTATTTTTAATGTTAAATTTAAACACTTTGATATCCATTACGATAACGTCGACGACGAACGAGATATACAACAAGTATAACAATAACTAATACCGCAAGACATATACCAACAACAATTGGAATCCAAGTTGAACTTTTAAATATATCCATTGTACAAACTTTTTCTATAAAATAGAAACAAAAACAAAAAACAAATATATTTCAAAAGTTAATATGATATTTTCTTAATAGCAAAAAGATTTTAAAGAAAAACATTTGACTTTACCAGTAGCATAATCATTCCATATAATCT